GCAGCACTGTGCTAGGGATGGGAAAACACATCCATGGGTCTCCTGTGCCCAGTAAAACACATCCATGGGTCTCCTGTGCCCAGTAAAACACATCCATGGGTCTCCTCTCCTTCCTAGGAGCCGGAGCCACGGGTGATTCAACAACAACAAAACCAAAGGAAAAACAATCTGCTGGTGCTAATGGGATTGGTTCTGTCCCTACCACGCACATTCCAGCCCGGCTCGAGGGACCCTCGGGGGGCGGGGGGGGGATAATGAAGCCAAATTATTCCTCGTGTTCAAATGTCAGAGCTGAGCGCGGTGCCGGGCCTGGCGCAGCTGCTGGGCCCTGGCGCTGCCGTGGGGAAGGGGAGAACCCCAGAGCACAGCCAGGACAGGCATTATCCTACAGCCAGGACAGGCATTTTCCATCCCCTGGCCTCCATTGTCACTGCTTGGAACACGAGGGGCTGCGCTCCCCGCTCGTTCCTGTGTTCTCCTGCCAGGTGAGGAGCACAGCCAAGCCGGGTTTGGCTGGCTTGGATGGGAACCAGGCTCCCCATGGGCTGGGGTGGTGCTGCAGCACTGCAGCCATCCCTGCTTTGGGGGTGACACGTGTGGGACACGGAGGGGACCTGCGGGATCGTGGCCTCACCGTGGTGCCAAATGGAGCTGGGAATGGCCAACGCTGCCAGCTGAGAGGGAGCCAGCTCCCGAGGGGGTCAGCTCTCCATGTGGGGCTGGAAGGAGCCCAAGATTCCTGCCAGAGGTGTTGATCCTTCCCCCAGGCTGGACCCCACGTGCTCGGTGTCCTGCTCGTTCCTGCTCCTCACAAGGCACAGTATTCCCATATTCCTGCTCCATCCCTGCTGGGGAAGGGGGCACTGCTGCTCCCCAGGGTGGGGGACACTGCCAGGGGTGGGCATCCAGCCACAGAGCCAGGCTGGCTCCGTCCTGGCACGGAAGGGATGCTGCTGTCCCCGGGTTTTGTGCTGGTTCTGTTGGATTGTCTCTGAAATTGGGGAATTTGGGAATGCGGGGCTCGGCTGCACCCCAGGATGGTGGGAGCCTACAGAGCTCATCCTGAGGGACTTGGGTATCCCACATCCCTGGGGGTCCCACATCCCTGGGTATCCCACATCCCTGGGTATCCCACATCCCTCAGGGTCCGACATGCTTGAGGATCTCACATCCCCGGGTGTCCCACATCCCTTGGTGGCTGCTCTCCATGGAATTCTCCCTCTGCCCTGGGCCCTGGCAGGGGTGGAGCTGCAGGGGAAGGAGGGGATGGAGGATCCACCTCCACCTGCCCACAGCAGATCGAGCATCCCAAACATCTCCACGGGAAATGCATCCAAAGGGGCAGGATCAAAGGGAGGGACAGAGGCTGGTCCATGGTGCTGGCACAGCAGCCACACCCCAGCCCGTGCTCCTGACCCTGCCCAGGCTCACGCTGGGCCAGGATTACCCAGGGATTAGCAGGGAGCAGAAATCCAGAGGGAACAAGAGCAGGGAGAAGCGCTGGCACTGAGAAACCCCACCACACCCTCAGGGCAGGCAGGACACAGGGCTGGGATATCACCAGGAGGAGTGAGGGAGGTCATTGCAGCCTCCTCCACAACGAGGGAAAATAAAGCAGCCAAAAATGTAACAAGAATTGGGGGGAAAAACCCTGTGCTGGGAAAAATCTAACAAAAACTGGAAAAAAAATTAATAAAACCCCTGGATGGTGGTGCTGGGAGCTGTGAGGAATTCCTGCTCCTGAGCAGGATGAAATGAGGAGGTCTGAGAGAAAGGCAGAGCTGCCAGCTCATGATTTTGTCATTACTCTCCCAGTGCTGGCTGTGGATTTTAAAGTCCAGCTGTGGGAGCCGTGGGATATGCAAGAGCTTGGCTTGCAGCAAAAGGTACATGGAGAGACCTCATGTTTTGCAAGGGGAAAAACAAACGAAAAAAAAAGGTGAAAATATGACTCCAATAGATCCTGAAGGCTTGAAATCAAGATCAGAAAGAAGAAGAATGTAAATAGAATAATGCAGAGTAGTTTGGAGTTTATTCCTTTTATTTTTTTTTTAACCCAGTCCAGTTAGAGTTGGGATTTTCCAGGCAGACCACTGCTCTCCACAGTAGGAATTCCAGGCCTGCCTGGATGCACTGAGTGCACAGGATAAATATATTACAGTTGTGTGAGTTGCTCAGATTGCTGCGCTAACACTGGTCATAAAATTCACCTCAGATATAAGGCAGGCTGCTCGGGGAAGGGGGCTAAGTGCACTCAACAAATAATGAAGAGAAATAAAAATAAATATCAAATGGCCCATAAAATCAAACAATAATGGTAACTAAAAAGTTCCTGGATTTGCTGCCAGAGGTAAAATCCCATCAGCAATATGAAATAACAAGAAATCCCCCCCTTGGCTCCTTCTCCACATGACACAAGTCAGCACGCCTGGTCACCAGAGTCGTTATGGAATACATCCTCCTCCCAGGGTCTTAGAAATGCATTTTTCCTGCTTTGAGAGACCTTCTGGGGTTCCATTTAACGGGGATCTGGGGAACACGTGAAAGGCATTTACAGCATCCAGCCCGGCCCTGCTTTTCCTGCAGGCGAAGCAGAGGTGTAACATTCACAGCCTTGCCACCACACCTGGGACGGAGAGGGCACAGCCCTTGGGGCACAGGGCTAGCTGCACTTCCAATAGCAGGGGGGATGCAAAAATATCAGGGTGGACATAAAAATATCAGGGGTGAACCTAAAAATATCAGGGGGGACCTAAAAATATCAGTGTGGACATAAAAATAACAGAGGGGGAGCGTTTGTTTGAAGTCTGTCACAGATCAGGGTGTGCTGGTCAGGTGAGGCGCAGCTGAGGGAGATGGGGAAGGGGCTCAGGAAGAGAAAAGGAGGCTCAGGGGGGATTTTTGGGCTCTCCTGACAGGAGGGGACAGCTTGGGGGGGTCAGGCACAGCTCCCAGGGTGAAGCAGGACCAGAGGGAACGGCCTCAGGATGGGTATTGGGGAAATTTCCTCATGGGAAGGATGGAGATGGTCAGGAAGGGGCTGCCCAGGGAGGTTTGGAGTGTCCAAGGAGCTCGTGGAGGTGGCACTCAGAGCTCTGGGCTGGGGACAAGCTGGGGATCAGTCACAGCTTGGGCTCGGTGGTCTTGGAGGTTTTTCCAACCCAAATAACTCCGAGATTCCATAAAGTGACCCCCAGAGGAAGAGGAAGGTGTCAAATGGAGCCGAGCTGGAAGTGGGACAACCACGAGGTGCTGGGAAGGAGGGGCAGGAGCTGCCCCCAAGCACCAGAACACAAAAAGAGCACCCCAGAGATGGGGGAGAGCTGTGGGGAGCCCCTGCAGCCCCAGATTCCAGCAGGGACAGGGGATGGAACACCAGGAGGGTCCGTGCACGGCCTCTTCCCCTGCTGACAGCTCCTGCTCTGTGCAGGTCGTGTCTGAAACAACAAGGCCCCGAGGTCCTGGCCGGGGTCTCCGTGTGCTGCAGCAACACAAATAGCAAATTAATAAGCACTGCTTCCCCTTCTCCCCAAGGTTTCGCGAGGCTTAATTAATGAATGTCTGTAAAACGCATTCGGAGCTGGGAATGAAATGTGCTGTGGAAATGCCAAATATTTTTAATGCTCCAGCAGATTTAGGAGGTTTAAATAAGAAAAATACACAGCTTTTCCTCTTCGAAACAGATTGCTCCCCTCGAAGCAAAGAGCTCCAGAACATGAAGTTTTCATCAGGCTGACTTGAAAGGGAGTTTTCACGGCTCTCCAACGCGTTTATTCTCATGTACGAGTTCCCCCCTTTCCCTTCTACAGATGTGGACGCCGAGCATGGGAAATCAAAGAAATCTACCCCCGGCCGTTGGCAGGGCCGGCGCTACGAACAATTTCCTGATTCCCAGTGCTGCCTGGAATGCCCCCTCGAGCAGATGCGAGGCGGCTTTAGGAATTACACGGACCCCGCGCGGCCCCGGCGGCTCTGGGGGAGCCGGGCGGGCTCTGATGCCGACCATGTGTGGGGACGGAGCGGCTCTGGCACCGCGGGGCGCGGGGAGCTCCGGCGACAGCACGGCACCCTCTGGAGGGAACTGCGGCTCCTGCACAGGGCAGGAACCTGCTCCGAGCGGCCTGGCAGGAGGGCTGTGCCCACCAGGGCTGGCCTGGCTGGCTGCAGACGTGATGGGTGCCGCAGGTGACACTGAGGGATCCGCAGGTGACACCGAGGGATACACAGGTGACACAGCAATATGCAGGTGACACTGGGCGATCCACGGGTGACACTGAGGGATCCGCAGGTGACACTGAATGATACACAGGTGACACAGTGATCTGCAGGTGACACTGAGCGCTCCGCAGGTGACACAGCGATCCGCAGGTGACACTGAGCGCCCCGCAGGTGACACTGAGCGCTCCGCAGGTGCAGTCCCGAGGGAAGTGCTGGGATTTCAGGCTGCAGCAGAGAAGGAGATCAGCTGGATGATGCTCGGAGGGAAGGAGCTGGTGGCCCGGGGGTGGTGACAGATCCGTGCGACCCTGCAGCTGCAGGGCGGTGACATCTCCTGGGACATCTCTGTGGACAGAACCCCAAGAGGCAGCGACAGAGCCTCAGAGTCCTCATTGGGGGGTGACAGAGTCCTGGTCCCTGCACTGTGGGGGGGTGACAGAGCCCCCATCACCTTGGCCACGGGGAGGTGACAGCCCCAATCCCCCATCCCCGGGCAGAGGTGCCAGCCCCCGGTGCGAGGTGCCAGTCCTCGGTTCCCAGCCCCGGGCAGAGGTGCCAGTCCCCGGTTCCCATCCCCCGTTCGAGGTCCCCATCCCCGGTTCCCCAGCCCGGGCAGCGGTGCCAGCCCCGCTCTCCCGCGGGGCGGTGACACGGCGGTGGCGGTGGCGGCGGGGCGGCGCCAGGCCCGGCGGGCTCGCAGCGGAGCCCGCGGCTCCCGGTCCCCGCCGCTGCTGCGCCTTTAACGCGGCGGCCCCGCCGCCTCCCCCGCGGCACCGGCGGCTGTGGCGGCGGCGCTCGGCGATGGCGGAGTCCGGCGGGGCCGAGTTCGGCGCGGAGCGGCCGAGCAGGTGAGCGGGGCCGGCGCGGCCTAGGCCGGGCAGCGGGGCCGGGCCCCATCGGCCCGCGGGGCGCCGGGCCCGGCCTCACCGAGCGCCGGCCGGGCCGCACCGGGAGCCGCTGCCCGGGGGCGCTGGCGGGCGGCAGCACGGCCCGGTGTACCCGGTGCTCGGTGCCCGGTGTACCCGGTGCTCGGTGTACCAGGTGCTCGGTGCCCGGTGTGCCCGGTGCTCGGTGCCCGGTGTACCCGGTGCTCGGTGTACCCGGTGCCCGGTGCTCGGTGCCCGGTGCTCGGTGTACCCAGGCCAGGGATTGTCCTGAGCGGGGACCGTGATGAGCAGAGATGCTGTTGCTCGTGGCGTGTGTGAGGGGGGAGGCTCTAAAGTAGAAAATAGTGCGCATTCTATAGTGAATCCTATAGGGAATCCACCCAGTGAGTCCCATAGTGAATCCTGTGGTGAATGCACACAGTGAATCCTATGGGGAATCCACCCAGTGAGTCCCATAGTGAATCCTGTGGTGAATGCACACAGTGAATCCTATGGGGAATCCACCCAGTGAGTCCCACCCTGGGTCAGCTCTGTGGAGCCACCGGCTCTGTGGGTTTATCAAAGCACCAGGTGTAGCACTTCCAGAGACACCCAAGTTTTGCCATTCTGCTGCCCCCCATCCCTTCTGCTGTGCCTGCAGACCCCCAGTTCCTGATTTCGGGAGGGGGGCTTGGAAGGGTTACTCAGGCTTTGAAGGGAGCACAGGGCAGGTGATACCTGTTGGGGTGATGTGGTTCCCGTCAGGGTGATGCTCTGGGTGGTGCAGGTGGTACCTGCTCACGGTGGAGTTTCTGTTCCCAGGGTTTGTTTCCCTGCCTCACCATCGCTCGGGCAGTTGTGCTGTCTGTCTGGGGCAGTTGTGCTGTCTGTCTGTCTGTCTGTCTGTCTGGGGCGGTTGTGCTGTCTGTCTGGGGCGGTTGTGCTGTCTGTCTGTCTGTCTGTCTGGGGCAGTTGTGCTGTCTGTCTGGGGCAGTTGTGCTGTCTGTCTGGATCAGTTGTGCTGTCTGTCCCGGGGATGTTGGTGCTGTCTGGGGCAGTTGTGCTGTCTGTCTGGATCAGTTGTGCTGTCTGTCCCGGGGATGTTGGTGCTGTCTGGGGCAGTTGTGCTGTCTGTCTGGGGCGGTTGTGCTGTCTGTCTGGGGTGGTTTTGCTGTCTGTCTGGGGCAGTTGTGCTGTCTGTCCCGGGGATGTTGGTGCTGTCTGGATCAGTTGTGCTGTCTGTCCCGGGGATGTTGGTGCTGTCTGGGGCAGTTGTGCTGTCTGTCTGGGGCGGTTTTGCTGTCTGTCTGGATCAGTTGTGCTGTCTGTCCCGGGGATGTTTCCCTGCTGCTGTCTGGCTGTCACTTCCCCTCAAAGCCCGGTTTATCCTCAGCGCTGCCTCCTGCAATCCCCACCCGTGAGTGTCACACCGTGGAGGGGAAGCTCTCCCAGGCATTGCTCAGCCTGGAGAAGCCTCTCTGAATCCTCACCTATAGATATATTCTATTTTTTCCCCTAATAACCATCTGTGCTCTGTGGAGCTCCACGCTGTGTCACCTGCAGCATCTCATTTCATCCCTCTGCGCCTCCCTTTCCTTTCTCAGGCAGGGATCCCGGCACTTCTCACTCCAGGTGTTGGTAGCACTTCTCCCCTGGCACTCGGGAGTTCCCTGGGTGTGCAGCAGTGAGAAATGGAAGTAATTTGTTTCAGGGCTGTGATAAATCACCCAGGCTGGAGCTGCAGCAGTTTTATTCCCCCGAGCTGCAGCTCCGTCATGTTCCCTATCGCTGAGTGTTTATTTTCTTTGTTAATTTTAAAGCAAAGCCCGTTCAAGTTAGCATCCTGCTTCTTGTTGGCCAGCAGTTTAAAGCTTTTTTTGCTTGTTTGAAGGTGGATTTATTGGGGAATAGGAGGAGAAACCTGATGGAGGACTTGGGATGTGCTGTGGAGCGTGAGGAGGATTCCAAGGGCATTCCCTGTCAGCAGTGATTCCTTGTTAGGTGCTTCCACTGGTGGCTTTTTGCGCTTCTCCTCTGCTCCCTGAGGCAGGAGGACAGAGGCTCGGGGCTGTTTCACACGTGCCATTTGGATGGAGCACTGCCTGGGCAGAATTTCCATCTTTGGAATTGCTACCGCTGGCCCGGGAGCTGCCCCGAGCAGGAGAATTCACTGAATTCGCTGCTCTGCTGGGATCCTGCCCTTCCATTCACACAAAGGACACGCTGATAAAGCCACTCCTGGGCGTTGAAAAGCAAATTGCCCCGATCTTCTGTTTTGAAATAAACTTGGGGTTTGGGTGTTGTTTTTTTTTTTCCCCTCTCTTCCTCCTTGGGTAGAATTTCATGGCTTACAATTAGGTTTCATATTTAACTCCCAGCCCTCTTTATCACGTAGAGGGAGAGTTTCAGGCTGCAGAATTCACTCTTTGGGACTGGGGAGAGGAAACTTGGGACCTTTTGGGACCCCTCAGCAGGAGAAGCTTCTGTGCTTGAGCCGTCGTTGCTGCAGCCTTGGTGAGGTGGGGTTGTGCAAAGCACAAAAATCTGGGAAAAACATCATCAGGTGCTGGAGAGAATGTCCCTCTGCAGGCCTTTCCATGGGAGTTAACTGAGGTGTACAGACAAGCTGCTGAGGAATTAATTGGGAGAAATCCCTTGAAGGACACACTGGAGTGTGTGCTGTGAAAATCAGGCAAGGTCTTGTCACCAATGTCTGGGTTCCCATCAAGGGAGTGCTGACCTGAGCTTCCCAAACTTTATTTCTTCTCAGAAAGTGCTAGAAAGGAGTGGAATACCCATGGGGATGGAGTAAAACCCCAAAGGGGGACGATAACGGCTGTGAGCCTGCCTTGCTTTGGTGTTCCTGTCATCTCCTACAGCTTCACCCTTCAATCAGCCTCGGTATTTTTTCCCTTTTGGAGCCGAAGTGGAGTTTTTGTGGGGTTTCTATGATCTATCCTCTGCCACATGGCAAGTTTCAGACAGATTTAGTTGTTAGATCTGGTAGACGTGGTGTAAATGTTTATGCTCGAACTGAATCACTGTAAAAATAACTGCAGCCTGCTCCTGCAGTGTGGGGAGAGCCCTGAGCTGGGGGTTTTATTTACACCAAAAGTGAACTTGGGGGATGCTCCACAGGTTCCTGTCCTGCCTCTGAGTGCTGCGTGGCTTTGCAAGGAGGAGCCTCGCACAGCAGGACGTGGTTAAAGCGTCTCTCCCACTTTGTCATTTATTAAGAAATGCTGGAGTTGCACAGAAATTTGGGATCTTTAAGGAAAGCTGTTCTGGGTGGCACAAAGCCTGTGCAAGACAGAGCTGGGAGAGAAAACCATGTTGTGATGGGGACACCCCTGAGTGCAGAGGGCTCAGGGCAGGAGAGCAATGGGCTGCAAGTGGATTTGAGCTGGAATTTGATGCTGAGTGCTGGAAAACGCCAATTCCTCCATTTCTGGAAGCAACGGGGCTCTGTGTTTGCTGCTGCTCTCTGCTGCTCCATCCCTTGGTGCTGGGTTTGCCTGAGCTCCCTGGCTGCTGCCAGGCTCCCGTGTGGAGGGTGGAGGCGCAGGGAGGGGAGAGGAGCACCTGCCCTGCACGTACCTGCTCCTGTCCCATTGCCACACTGCCCAGGGCGTGCCATCCTGCTGCACAAACAGCCTGGCACAAACTCTGCTCCGGGACTTCCGGAAGAGCTGGAACTTCCCTGACCTCTCCCAGGTGTGGAGCGGGATGGGGGCGTGGGACAAAGTGGGGAGTGGGCTCCTGGCACTGGGGACCCTCCTGCCAGAGCTGTGGCGCAGCTGGCACAGCTGGCACGGGCTGTCCCCCCAGGGAAGGGGACACAGAGGTCGCTGAGCTGTGCAGAGCCCAGGCAGGTCCTGGCAGATTTGGGGATGGCCATCATGCCATGGATCAGCTTTGGCAGGTCCTGGCAGATTTGGGGATGGACACCATGCCATGGATCAGCTTTGGCAGGTCCTGGCAGATTTGGGGATGGACACCATGCCATGGATCAGCTTTGGCAGGTCCTGGCAGATTTGGGGATGGCCATCATGCCATGGATCAGCTTTGGCAGGTCCTGGCAGATTTGGGGATGGACACCATGCCATGGATCAGCTTTGGCAGGTCCTGGCAGATTTGGGGATGGACACCATGCCATGGATCAGCTTTGGCAGGTCCTGGCAGATTTGGGGATGGACACCATGCCATGGATCAGCTCTGCTCCCAGAGCTGGCAGGTCCTGGCAGATTTTGGGCTCCCAGAGGTGTCAGGGTGGCACCGAGGCGGGCACAAGGCAGGAGGGCAGGTCCAGCAGTGCCGGTGTGGCCCAGGTGACGCTTTTGGGGTGGCCCTGGTGGCTCTGCTGTGCTTCCCGACACCGCTAGGTGCCTCCCGGCCTTTGCACTGCTGGGAGAGGCTCAGGAGCCCCCGCTGCTCCCTCGGGCTGCTCCAGCAGCCGGGCACTGCTCGCATTTTTGGGTTATTTCGGACGTGGCACCGCTGGAATTTCACTTTTTGCTCTGCAGGGTTGGGGAAACGTGCAGTGTTCAAGGCAGAGCTGCCGGGGAGCATTGAGTGTGTGACCAGCCCCAGCTCGGGGCTGTACATGGATTTTATGGGATGTAAACTCCACGCTCTGGGGGTCCCTGAGTGCCTGGCTCTGTCCCTGCTGTCCCTGACGTGCTCCGAGTGGTTTTTGTGTTTGCTCTGTTTGTTCTGCCTCAGAGGGATCAGGTTTGGGGCTGGCAAAATATAATCATCAAGTTTGTGGTGTGGGGGAGCATCTTCTCATTTTCAGTTGAGGTGGTGGCAGGGCAGGGATGGGTGGTGACGGGTGCCACCTCTCCAGATGTCACCTCTCTGCTTTTGGACAGAGGAAAAGCCCAGTACAGGACAAACCCCCTGTGGTAGCTCTAAATATGAGAAAAGAGCAATGGCAAATCCTTGTCATTAACCTCACTGTGACATTTTTGCCCCTCCAAGCC